TTTGGTTTTTTTTTGTTTTTTTTTTTTTTTTTTTTTTTTTTTTTTTTTTTTTTTTCCGTCATGTGATGTCTGTCCTCAGCTTGCAGAGTTTAAAAATTAAGCATATTTTCCTCATGACCTTTATGGAAATTAAATTTTTAATTGTGCTGTGTAGGTCTTAGCTTGTAGAAACAAATTTTTCCCTCTATAAGCATTTGAATCTTTTTGAGGTTTTAGAAAATTGTGCAACTCTCATTTTATTATGCTTCTAGTAGATGGTGCTAAACTCTTAAGTATGGATTCTTGCTTGAAAAAAAGTGCACAATTTAAGTGCAAGATTTTAGATAGGCTGTCACCACGCATGTATTCTACATGAATCCACCCTAAAAGAGCACAGGGAGGTCTTCTATCGCCGTTGTTCTCATCCCTCTCATGCCTGACCGATCCTGGAGGAGGAACAACAGTGCTCACTACCTTGCTTTACTCACGGGATGAGTCAGAGAGTGATGATGCCTTTGCCCTTTTTGCTTCCCATTTCCTTTATGAGGGCTGTGTGACCATATCCCTACCTTCCTGCTGTTGTGTGAATGACTGGCCACGCTATCAAGAGCACACCGGAAGTCTGCACCTTGAGAGAGCCAGTCTCGGCTCTCAGTGAAGTCTATCACAAAATCCTCCAAAAAGGATGAAGATAGAAGGCTTCCATAGAGGGTTTCCCAGAGCTCATAAGTCATCTCTCCCCTTTTAATTCTGGTCCTCTTTAATGGTCTTCATAAACTCCCATTCTGAAAAAGAAAGATACTTTTAGGGACTCTGCACAGCATGTGGATTTTCTTTATGCAAATTGACTGTGTGTCACGAGAGGAACTTAGCCCTATACTTTTGTCCCATCTCTTACCATTTGTTCGTTAGTCACCGGCCTTGGCCCTATTGAAATACTCTCTGTTCTGTACTTTGGTTCTTCCCTCTCTCTCTCCTTGTACATGCCACTCTTTCTTTCAGAATATTTTCTACTCACCTCCCCTACCCCACTTATTATTTGCTGTGTCTTAACTGGAGGAGGCTGAAGTCTCTGATTTGGGGGTTATTTGAGAAATCCTTTCTACTCACCATTTCTCCTTTCTTTCAGGATTTTGAGCATGCACACACATGTACCCAACATGTTTCTCAAGCTGCTGGGTCCAGGACTTGAATTTGCCAATTTGCTACATGGTATCCAGCTCCTTAAACACTATGCTACTGATTAGCACCATTCCTTTTTTCTTCTTTCTTTTTATAATTTGCTGTAGGGTACATATGCTCCCCAGAGAAAGTCAGAGAATAAAAGGGAGAGAGGGAAAATATACACACACACACACACGAAACAAGAAATGGAAAATTACTTGTCGATGATAACATGTATGATTAAGCAACTATACAGTGTATCCTGGATGGGAAATTACATTTCGTATGCTATGATGATGCTCAGTGAATGAGTGTAAAATAATTAATTAATTAAAAAATTTTAAAAGTCATATGACAAAGCAAACAAAACTGTAAAGGTTATATGGAAAATTGGAAAATTAAATAAAATATTTTCTGCATGTATATATAAAGAAAGCACCCATGGGGAGATAACCTTACTTCAGTCCCTTCTCCTCCATTCTCCTCTTGGGATTTTGGGTATGCATGCACACATCCCAGTGTTTTGTTCAAGCCAGTGGGTCCTGGACTTGAACCACAGAGTCAGCTTTGTGGGATCCAGCCACCTTAAACACCATGACACTAGCTGCCCCTATTCTATCCTTTTCTGTTTAGCTTTCTCAATGGTTCTCACGACCCATTAAGTTGATTCACAACCAGATCACTGTCAGCACTTTGAAATCAATTGCTTTATGTAACTGTACCTTTTCCTATTATGAACAATTGAAGTATTGCTATATTAATCAGCATTCAACCAAAGGAGCAGAACTGACAGGAGATATTTATTAAAGATATTTATTATAAAGAATTGGCTTACACAAATGTGGGTGCTGGATATAGAAGTCCAAAATCTGTAGAACAGGCCATTGTGTTGAGAGGGTGAAACTCTCAGGAATGAGTTGATGCTATCACAGGTACAATTATTTATTTATTTATTTATTTTTAAATCTTGGAAACCTCAGTTCTACTCTTAAGCCTTTTGGCCAAATGAATCAGTTCCACCCAGATTACTTAGGATAATCTTCCTTACTGGAAGCCAACTTAATTTGAACTTCAATCACATTTACAAAATACTAGGTTGTTTGAAAAGTTGTGACGGGATTTTTCTATGCAAAAATGCATCATTACTTTTCTGACAACTCAATACTTCACAGTGACACCTAGATTAGTGTTTGATTAAATAACCAAGAACCGTAGCTTAGTCATGTTGACATATTGAAAGACTATCACAGTGGTATACATGGACTGGTCTTTGATCTTGTTTATTTAGGGAGTAGAAATCAATTTTAGTCCACCTGTCACTAGGATGATTTGTGTCACATTCTTTTCTTCCCTCTGCACTGAAGTTAACCTTAAGATCCTCACTCACTTGGCTCGTAATTCAGACCCATCCGTGTTTTGACATTCTTTTTCACTGCCCTGGGTAAATGCACAATTCTTAGGAGTTTATGGAGTTTCTTGTGTTAGGAACTCTTGTTTTTCGCTTACACTGTTACTTCTGATGATATCCTCCAACAAATAGTTAAGTATTCTTCAAGACTGTTTTCTTCTATTTTCAGACAAAATTTGGGGCCTGAGGTTTTCTTTTCAATGTTTCCAAGACCTCAGCGTTTAATGTTTAATTTTTTTTTAAATTTTATTTATTTATTTATTTTGATTTGACCAGAGAGGGATAGAACAAGAGAGCGGGAAAGTGAAAAAGCAAGCCGCCAGGTCCAGTCCTTGACCCATAGCCAGCCAGTGGGATGCCAGTGCACTTACTCACCATGCCACCTGCCGTCTCCCCCCCATTTTTTTTTTTTTTTTTTCTATTAAACTTAAATGACCAATGGAGACAAACAGTTCACAGATTGCTCTTCCACCACTGAGTAAGGCTGGGGTGGCAGGAATGAGTGATATTCATTTAGTTTTCTGGCTCTCTGGGGGGTGGGGGGCAGACTTGATAAAAATGCCGCACGCTTCAGGAATTTGCCTGTCATCCTTGTGCAGGGGCCATGCTAACCTTCTTCATATCGTTCTGATGTTAGTACATGTGCTGCCGAATCGAGCACGAATATAGTTTCAACCACCCCTTCTCTCCTATAAATAAGGTTCGATGTCCGTACACACACATAGGCATACGTGTAGATGTACACGTCTATATGCACATGTACTTTTATCATGTTTTGAATATAAAATAGAATTTAAACCAAGTTATAATTGAACTGAGACAGTAAGATCCAGATGATTCTTAAAGATAGTCAAGGAGCAGAACAACCTCATCCGTCACACACCTGAGAAAACCCATGTTTCCAACGGCCCTATTTTAAGGTCTCCGACTTCATTGATCTTTGTCCTCTAAGGGCCTAAGACCCTGTGCACTTTTTAGATGGAAAGTAGATAATAGATTGTTTATGGGAGAAAAAGGGAAGAGGACTGTTAACAGAGGGTCTCCCGAACCCGTTTAAAGGTGTGTTGATTTTAGTCATCATAATGACCTAATTTTAAAAAACCTCTGTATGAAGAGTAAAGGCTTTATAAAGGGGGTATAGAATAGGGACCGTTTCCCCCCAATGATCCCCCAAAACGTGCTCCCATAAAAGGATGCAGGATATCCTAGTGTTTAGTTTTTAAGATGCCTTCCAGCCTAGCTTGTGCATCAGAGGTACCATCAACCTTGGAGCTTTCTGTGTTTGTGTAACTTCGGTATCTGAGGAACTTACGGGTCTAAATTTTCTTTTCCCATGTTCAAGAGAACCTCTCAAACCCTCTTTGGTGTAGCTGACATCTCCGTTTCCTCTCTTCAGCTTCACTACACACACACACACACACACACACACACACACACACACACATGCCTATACACATGCACATACTGTAGTAATCCTCTCATCTGTTTTTCTATTTAGACAATTCAGAATAATCTCCCTCCATAGACTTTTGGAATCAGTATTGGCACTTGTAGTGAAAAAAGAAACGAGTACCAACTGCTGAGACAAATGCTAGAACAGAAAGCGATTTACTAACTCATCCCATTGCATCTGTGCAAGAATAACCACTCCTGGGTAACATAAGTCAGTTATTTCTCCTAGGAGGTTGCCCACCCCTCAAGAAAAGGTGCCAGTTGGGCTAATTATTTAAATTTATCTGTGACCAGAACACCTGTCTAGTGGGAACTGGACCAAAGCCACCGGTTTACTTCACGCTGGCCACCAGTTGTCAGCTTGTGAAGCATATGTCTCTGATTTACACTGAAAGTCTGGTTAAGCTGAAAGAGAACATGGCTAATTTCTCATGGATATGTTTAATTGTTTATAGTAATTTAAAAAGTACTGAGGGAAACATGAACATCAGTGGAATTTTCAGTTCTCTGTTAAAAACTGTCTCTTAACAGAAACTCACTAATTTGGGCTTCTTTGTCTTAGAAATTGTCCAAATTTGCAGTGAGGTAATTTTATATTTGTTTATGAAGGAATTTTTTCTTGATTATTTTAATGGCATAAACTGGTTTTTGCAAAGAGAATTATTTTAAAAAGTATTAAAGTATTCTTACAACATGTATTTGCAGATAAATGGCACTAATTATAATAAAATGTTATCAAAAGCAAATTATTCAGGACTTTTTAATCTTTTCATTTTGCTGATCTTTTCTATAAGTGTGACTTTAATAAAACTCTACTTATTTAGAAATTCTGTTTTATTAAATATCTTCATATATAATATTTAACTTTATATTTATTTATATATGTGTGTGTGTTTGTGTTTATGAGAGTATGTTTGAGGACATGACAATTTACAAAATTCCAAATAATGTAAGAAAAATACCATCTAGATATGACTTGGGAACCAGCAGTTAGCGTAATGGCTATGTCGCTAGACTCCCACGTAGTCGACTGCGGTTCACATCCCGGACCCGGTGGCTTAAAACTCACGCCGGGCACGTGTGCGTGCGTGCCCAAGATCCCGAGAGGAAAATGGAGAAGGGATTGCAGCCTGACCATCCCCCGGGAGGTGATTTCTCTCTGTCTCTATGTTTCTCTCTGTTTGTCTGGTGAGCGCACACGCCCTATAGCAAAAACCTCTCCAAAAAAAAAAGATAAGACTAGAAGGTACCGGCAGTTGGAGTAATGACTATGTCGCTGGACTCCCATGTAGTTGACTGTGGTTCGAGTTCTGGACCGGGTGGCTTAAATTCAAGCCAGGCTCGTGTGTGTGTGTGCCCAAGATCCAGAGAGGAGAGTGGAGGAGAAGGGATTGTGGCATGGCCATCCTCCCCAGAGGGTGATTTCTCACTTTCTGTCTCTCTCTGTCTTTCTGGTTATTAGCACACACGCCCTATAACAAAAAACCTCTTCAAAAAAAGAAAAAAGATATGACTTGAAGACTTAGTAAGTAGTATAGCTTATTTTACTATATAATGCCAGTACATATAATTCTGAAGACCATTTGTTTTTTTTTTTTTTTTTTTTTTTTTTTAGCTTTTAGGTAAGAACTGATTTGAAAACCACCCCTCTCTGCATTGTATGAAGGAAGAAATATGTGAGAGGTGGATCACGTGAAAGATGTGTTTGGTGTCTCTATATGCAACCAACCCTGGGTATCTATAGCTCTATGTGAGAAAAAGCTGGGAAGAAGATTTAGGAACATCCTGGTATAGGTGGTAGTATTCAGTCCCATTCTTGGGACTAGAATTATGTTGGCAGGATGAACAATAGGGCTTTCTTGTGATTACTACTATATCTGACTTGTCACTAATATTTTCACTTAAAAGGAAGTAAAAGGGTTCTGCTAGTCAAATCCGTCTCTTGTGTTTATAAACTGAGATAGGATCTTTACAGTTCATACTAATAGTGAACAAGTGGTCTTTTTAAATGGAAGACCGGTTAGAATAGTCTAGTTTATATTGCACTACAATGTTCCCAGTTATCTTCTAACAGATATTTATTTCTCACTCATGCTACATGTCTGTTGTAGGTCGGAAAGAAACTCTTTGCATTTGTTGTAGTCACTTGGGTACTTAGACTTAGAGAACATACTTAGTTCCAGTTCGCAGAGATATTGGAAAAAGAAAACACCAGGTCTTGCCTCTGCAATGAAAATGCCTTACTTGAAAGAGACACTCATCATGTCTGCCTAGAATCTATTGGCCAGAATTACTTATATAGCTCCACCCCAGTACATCTAATGGTAGAGAATTATTACACCTAACATACCCAGAAGGAGAACTAGAAATACTGCTAAGTAGCAGTACTTTTCTACACATAGATCGATTTACTTTTCATTTAGCCAGCTCATATGGGGTGCAAAAGTCAACTTACTTTCTGTGTAAACAAATGTGAAAACAACCTAAACCATTTGTGAAAAAATGTAATTGAAGTACAAACTTATTTTGCTGAAAAAAAAATTGAAATCTCTGCATAGGTTTTCCATAATACACATTTTCTTTGAACTTTTTTGAAAACACCTTTTATAAGCGGAATTCTTACTTCACTTTCAGGTGATGTGATGTTTACATGTATTAATCTTTTTTTCTCTATAAGTATTTATTATAATTTATGATTTACATATAATCATTACGCATCTCTGTAGGGTACAAAATGGTGTTTTAAAAAATATTTTAATTTTTATTTATTATCATTATTATTTTTTAATTTGCTATAGGGCACATACCCTCACCAGAGAGAGACAGAGTGAAAGACAGAGACAGAAAGAGAAAGTGAGAAGGTAAGCTGACAGGTTTGGGACTTGAATCTCAGATCTCCATGTATGAAGTACAGCACCTTTAACCACCACGCCACCTGCAGACCTCCAGAGTAGTCTTTAAAAGCATGTTTACAGTGTGTAATAAACAAATTCAGGACATAAACATATTCACCACCTTCAACATTTAATATACTGTGTTGTGAACATTCGAAACCCACTCCAACACAATTATGTACTTAAATATATGATGTTCTCTACTTTGAGATACAGTTCTGAAGAAAAACATATTGATTAAAAGTCATGAAACAAATGATCGCATAAATTAGCAAAGATAATCTTAGCATAGCTGATGAAAGAAGAATGTGTAATTTTTCATGTAGAGGACCATGGGAGGTAAAAGTTTATAATCTGAAAAAAATCTGTAGTCTCCATCATTGGTCCAGTTAGAGAGAGGCAAAATTTTACGTAACAACGGCTCATTAGGAAGAGGCAGCAAAAGAACACTTTTATTCACACACTGTGAATTCTTTTAAGACCATGGCACTGTACCTTACATAAAACAATAAATCCTCAAAAAGGCAAAATTAAAAGCAGAAAGAGGTGTTTAAAAGTGAAGACATGGTGGGACCAGCAGATAATATAATGGTTATATCACTGGATTTCCACATAGTTGACCACGGTTTGCATCCTAGACCCAGTGGCATAAACTCATGCCAGGTGCATGTGCGTACATATGCAAGATCCTGAGAGGAGAATGGAGGAGAAGGGATTGCAGTGTGGCCATCCCTCCTGGGGGGTGATTTCTTGCTTTCTGTCTCTCTGTCTAGCTCTTCCTTTCTGTTGAGTGCACACACCCTATAGCAAAAACATATCTCTTAAAAAAAAAAAAAGTGATGACATGGTAAAGCCAGTGACCAGTAATGATTTATAAGCTTTACAAAATTATTGATTTTGGGATCAGCAGTTAGCGTAATGGCTATGTCACTGGACTCCCACGTAGTAGACTGCGGTTTGAGTCCCGGACCCGGTGGCTTAAACTCACGCCGGGCGCGTGTGCGTGAGTGCCCAAGATCCCGAGAGGAGAATGGAGGAGGAGGGATTGCGGCATGGCCATCCCCTCTGGGAGGTGATTTCTCGCTTTCTGTCTCTCTGTCTGTCTCTGTCTGTCTGGTGAGTGCACGTGCCCTATAGCAAACCTCCCCCCCAAAAAAATTATTGATTTTAACCTTTTAAAAATAAATTCCAAAGAAAGACCCAGCTACCTGTAAAATTTTTGCAATCTTTCCTCTATTATCTAGTTTTACACAGTGAGTATTTGTTATAATAAATATATAAATTGAAACCTATGCAGACAACTGCCTGTCAAATA